CATTTTTAATTGTCAAAATACCTTGAAGCTGTCAAGTATACCTACATCTATGTCACAGGGCAGGCTCAAGGGGTGCCCAGGTGAGTTCTTTTACAATAAAATGGCTCAGCCGCAATATCACTCGGGTGCAAAAGTGGTGGTTTATTTGGAAAGTGCTCCTCACAAACCAACAAAACATTTATTAGTTCAGAAAACTAGAAAATTTAACAAAAAATACACAAAAACTTTATATGAGAGTTAAAAGCCAGTAGTCTCAACACACATGTCCTCTCAGCTAACTCTAATCGTGGTTTAGCAATGAACTTCCTAAATAGATACAGCCCTGTCCTCTCCGAACCTACCATTGTACCATTTAAGTTATCGAGCTCCACCTCCCACAATAAACATATTATTTTCCCCCCAAAGCAATTAATTCATAATCTTTTAACAATGAGCAAAACATTTTCTTCCTATACCGGAAGATGTGCGAATACACCACTCAGCGTGGACACCACAAAGCCAAGCTGAAAACAAGGATCAGGTTAAACCTCTGAGACCAACATACCCAGAAGTCAGACTGCCCAGGACGTACAGCAATCAACAATAACACGGAAACAAGGAAGACAGACAAACAGACAGAGCGCTCTTTCTCAAACACATAGGTACAAATAAACATAACGTTATCCTTGAATGTTTGTGGCTTCTCTATGAATAACAGGAACTGATTTCGAAGTAAAATATGGTTATGCTTTTGCATGTATGAAATGGGAAACTGCTAGCCGAGCACCAAGTGTGCACCCTCGCAAGCTAGCTAGCTGACACGCAAATAGATGTATGGACGCGTGTATAATCTAAGTGGGATAACATGTGTGGTATAATGTACTGTCTGCGGACGGTGATAGAGATCCCTCTGTCACAATCTTTATCTATATCTATGAAAGAAAATAATATTTCTTTGTTTAAAATAGGTTTTTATGATTGATAACCATTTGGTTCGGAATGTTTCAGACAAAAGTCTGTCAGATTGTTTGAAAGTAATTTAACCATAGTGCTGTATGTTTAATTTAAATGGGTTTCCTACTCTTTTTTCATTTAGTCCTACAATGCAGTTCCATATCTGTTTTATTCCTTTTAAAGTATGAATCTTATTCTTGTTAAAATTAGTTATTTTAGCAGCTAATTCCATAATATTATATAAAACACTAATGAAAGCTATAGTGATGTTGAATATACCAATGCTGGTTCAATCTTATATTATTACTAAATAAATATAACAGAATGAATATCAAGAAAGAAATGTGATTTCAAACAATAGGTAAATGATTCAGTGCAGACACAGTGATTCCTGAACCCAAAATAGTTTATTGGGAGGAAATAAGCACTATAAAATAAAGTGCCCTCTAAAGATATTTGGACAGTAAGGTGTCAACTTGAATATTCACTGTGAACACTTTTACTTGGATAATTACTATGATTATTATACTTATTATTTCTCAAGGAAGAAAAAACCTCATTGTACAACTTCTATTTTATTTTTTAAAAAGTCAACTCTTTCTACACTCTTGAGTCAAATAAACAAATTAACAGATAAAGTTGAAACTTTATATTATGAATGAGCAAAAGTATTGGGATAGATTCTCATCAGTCTGTCTTTTGTCGCAGTTGGCTAATTAGGTACATTTAAAAAGAGCAGTCAACTTCCTATCATTCTGTCTCAGTTTGACTTCAATATTTTGAGTCCGTACTTAAAAGTGAAATGGAAGACCAAAGCAATTTCAACTGAAGATTTTTTTACAATTTTGAAGCTGAAAGAAAACAAAATTCAATCAAAATCACAACAAAGAAATAGGACATACCAGACCCAATGATTGGGAAAACACTAAAGAAAATGTTCAAACCATTGTCACTAAAATTGATCACTTCCAGACTGCAAGGGTTAAAGTATTAAAGTTAACAGTTGCCCAAAGACTGAGATGAGAGAATAATGAACCACAAGATGTAAACTTCCCAGAGGCATAAAGAATGTAAAGGACACATTAGAATGGAAATACTTGGAAATACTGAAGTAAGCCAGGAGAGTTCTGCAAAAATGTGTAATAGACAGATGGGACCATCTGATAGAAAGGTTAAACTGTGGAAAAATACTTGAACCAAGTGATCAAAACAATATCTTTGAAGCAATGTCATAGCTTGGTTAGGATGAGACTGATGGCGGTGGCGGTATGAATTCTGAAGTTTATAGACACCACTTCACCCTGAAATATAATATTGACCCGAAACCAACAGCTGATACAACCAAGTAGTTACTCTCTAGAAAAAAACTTGGAAAACCTGATTGCCAGGTCTCCAGGTTTAAATGCAACTTAGTATGTATTTTACATCAATAAAATTAAAAATATAAATTCAATAAAAATTAAAGATTCAGATATCCCTAAAATAATCTAGAACTCAGTGCCTGCAGCAAAGGATTGGCGAAGCATCTCAAATGATTACATAAAGATTATTATTAGTTTAGTAAATTGTAGATATCATGCAAACCCAGTGTCGCTTTGGCCTTGTAATATGGATCATTATTCTGCTGAAGGATAAATTTTAGTCACAGTTCTAGATTTTAAGCAGGGTTTTGTTTAAGATTTGCCAGTACCTTCTGTCATCTATGTTCTCATCTACAGTATGTTACCATAGATGACAACCTTGCTAGCCACTACTGATGAGAAAAAGAGAAAAACATAATGTTGTAGCCATCATGCTTGACAGTAGGGATGGTAAGAATAATAATAATAATAATAATAATAATAATAATAATAATAATAATAATAATAATTGCTCATACTTATATAGTATAATACACTCCACTCAAGGCGCTTTACATGTAATGGGGACTGACCCTCCATCACCACCAATGTGCAGCACCCACCTGGATGATGCAATGGCAGCCATAGTGCAGCAGAACCCTCACCTTACATCAGCTACATAAGCTAGCCATGAAAACGTTTTTCATGATTTCCTCCATTATTGCATATTTGTCACACTGGATGTTCTCAGAACTTTAGACAAAATCTAGCGTTAGATAAAGGGAACCTGAGTAAACAAATAACACTTTATTATTATTGTTATTTAATTTATTTAATAAACAAAAATTTTCCAACAACCATATCCTCTGTGTGAAAAAAGTAACTTAATAATTGATTGTGCCACCTTTAGCTGCAATGACTGTAACCAAATGCTTCCTATAATTCTTTTACATTGCTGTGGAGGAATTTTAGCCCACTCTTCCTCCCAGAACTGCTGTAATTCAGAAACATTGGTAGGTTTTCGAGCATGAACTGACTGTGTCAGATTCTGCCACACCAAAACTTTAATTTTGCTTCTTTTCAGCCATTTTGATGTGGACTTGCTTTTATGTTTTGGATCATTGTCCTGCTGCACGACCAAAAAGTTCCACTTTTGACTCATCTGTCCATAAAACATTCTCCCAAAAGGCTTGGGGATCATCCAGGTGCTACTTGGCAAATGAGAGACTAGCGTTTATGTTCTTCATGGTTAGCAGTAGTTTCTGCCTTGCTACTATCCCATGAAGTCCATTTTTGCCCATTTTTGCTTTTTCTGATTGTGGAGTCATGAACACTGAGCTTAGCTGAGGTTGTTTTTTTTTAATCCTTTGTGATTTACTGGATGATTTTATGCTGCGCTCTTGGAGACATTTTGGCAGGCTGACCACCTCTGGGAGGATTCACTACTATTCCAAGTGTTCTCCATTAGGAGATTATCTCTCACTGTAGTCCGGTGGAGTCCCAGAGCCTTAGAAATTGCTTTGTAACCCTTTCCAGACTGATAGAAATTAACAATATTTTTTCTGATCACTTCAGGAATTTCCTTTGATCGTGGCATAATGTGCTAATCTTTGTGCTGGCAACTTGATTTTGATGGTAAGGGTCAAAATAAGTGAGGTTTATATTGAGCAGGGCTCCCTGTAATCAATTCTGGCTGTGTTCAATCAGCTGGCTCTAATTTATCCCTTTAATTGGGTTGATTTACTTGTTCACACAGTGCCAGTTGGTGTTAGATAACTTTGTTCATTAAATAAAAGAAATAAGCAAAAAAAGTGTTATTTTTTCACTCAGGTTCCCTGTATCTAATATTACATTTTGGTTGAAGACCTGAAAACATTCAGTGTCCAAAATTTGTACTAAAATCAGTAAATACTTTTTCCTGGCACTGTATTAGTGGGAAGGAGAACAGAGTAACGAAGCCAATTCATAGATGGGGTTTATTAGTAAGCCACGATTGGTAAGGGCCAATGTGAAATTTGCCCAGGATGTCGAGAAATGCCCTGGGATTTTTTTAATGACCACAGAGAGTCAGGACCTCGGTTTTATGTCTCATCACAAGGATGGTGCCTTTTTACAGTATAATGTTTAACTGTAAAAACATTTTTGAACTTTTAAAAGCAGTTAAAACTGCTACTATTTTAAGTGCTGTATTTCAGCATATTTCATAATGTTATCCATCAGGTTATTTATTTTTTCCCCAGAAAAAGTAAGTAAGTAAAATATTACAACTTAATTTATTGTACTCATGTATGTGATATGACTTTTCTTTGCTGAAACGTTTGTGGAAAATGTCCTGTTTCATTCTTTTCTAGCAAAATTTGAATTGTTGCTTAAACAAGCTTAAAAGCTTAGTTAAACTCTTAGCTTGATTTACAATCTAGTGCATATTAACATGTGTAAAGTGATTGTTTTGCAGTGGAGGTTCAAGTTAAAAACCACAGTCAGCTCAATGTCTCAGATAAAATGAATATTAAGACATATCATTATACAGGATAATGTAATTCTAAATTCATTTGAATTAGTGGAATAACACTATTTAACATCAAACATCTGTCTAGATTAAAACTGTTTTTTTCCACATGAATAGATTTCTGATTTCATTCTGCCAATTTTTTTTTATCTTGCTATCTTGCTATCTTAGAAGCAATTCACAAAAACAAAATATAGATATTTTCAACTAATACTTACCTCTCACCTTTTCCTCTCACTTGGATCTTGGTAATCTTGCCTTTTTTCCCTAATGACTAGTCTTACTTTATTGTTCTCTAGAAAAAAGGGAAAAATATAACATTACTTCAGAGCAAAGGGATCTATGGTAAAGATATTATACATATAATCTGTCATTTTTTCGATTCTGTATGAATTTAACAGTTGAAGACAAGGCATGAAGCCAAGTTTTTATTAAATGCAATTTAAGATAAACATTCAGGAGAAGGTCAATATCTAATCTCACTCACTTTCCTTCTAGCTACATATAAATATCAGGGACATGGGGAGAGTATAGATGGGTTCATGTTCATCCACTAGTTCAAGTTAGATAATTGATTCTGAAGAAGTCCATTGGGTTTATCTTGTCAGTGGCTTTGAAGATTTTAAATAACTGAAACAAGTACCCATCATAGTCTTTTCTGTTCAAGCCTTAAAAAAGGTTCAATTCTTCTAGCTGGTCAGTATACAAAATATAATTCCTTTGAGCCAGAGAATGTACCAGGCAAGAGAGTTACAACAATAAAACAATTCATAGTTACAACTCTACTACTGTATGTCTTAATTAGGGGTTAAACAAACTACTGACTATGTGCAGTAACCTTTTTTCAAGAGTAGACACTTCTTTCAATGCTGAATGAAAGAAACAGGGAAAAAATTAATGCAGTCGTTTTTGTTTCCCTTCTTCATATACTTATTAAAATTATACTGGTATTTTTTTTATTTACATCATAATAATATATTAATGAAAAAAGCTGTATCTGTGTTTCCAAGGTTCTCCGAACCTTGTAAAATGTAATAATAATTGTTATTAATATTTTTTGTAAAACAATCCATTCAGTTAAACAAAACTTGAAATGTACCAAGCTTATTTGATTGTCAAATAAAAGTGTTTCTGATTTATGTTTGAAGCATAATTATACAAAGATAGCCAATTGTAATCAAAATGTAATTTGTTTTTTATTAACAGTATAATTAAGAAATACTTTTCCCATTTTGTACCTAAGATTGCAATACACAATTTAAATTTAATCCAGTACTTTTTGACAAATTCCTACATCAGTCCAGAACAGATGAAGACAAGATATATTTTCCTTGAAAAGGGCCGTGGTTTGCCAAATTCTGTTTTATATTGCTCAATGTTATCCAACAAACACTGGTACAGCCTAAGGATTTCAAAGACAATATCAACTCAAACAAATCTTGTCGCACTCAACTATTTGAGTGCCTCGGAGATACTGATCACAGTTGGTTAGTGTTATACACTATACACTTACATTATTTGCATGTTTTGGAAATCTTTATGGTTAGAATGTACGGGGGGAACATCTATAGTATATCATAGAACAGGTGTCTGCAACACTGGTTCTGCACCACTGATAGGTAAGTTCAAATAGTGATAGAGCAGAAATGTGAGGCATGCTAACGACTACTTATTAAGCAAATGATGGATTCAAATAAATTATTCAGAGGGTCATTAGAGTGAAAATCAGAATATCTCCTACTACTCCAGCACGAATCAAAGCTGTAGAAACCTGATACAGAGTATTGTTAGAGTATAAGTATACAATGACACATGCCTTTAAAGCAGCATTTTTTAGCAAAAGTTGGAGTCCTCATTTGAATATGGCCTGTATCATTTTCTTATTTATATAGGCCAAATTTCTCACATTTTCAGAAAATCCTCTTTTTCTTGAAAATCACATACTGTAAACTTCCCAAAGTGAATTTGCAATTGTGAAAAACTAGAAGGCAGATGATGGGAGGTTCAATACAAATAAGGAATGGTATTATTTTTATTATTGCCCTTTGAAGAAGTGGAAACAGAGCAGAATATATATTGGTTAAACAGAGAGTCTACAATTTATTCATTGGAATGATGAAAGCATTCTATCACACACATTTAAAGATTCAGCTTTCTTTACTGGTGAATAAATAATTGGAAGGTGAATGCCCATGGAAAGCACTCTCATATCTTTTGAATTTCAGCAAATGTCACATTGAAATTTCTAGGTGAAGCATTAGTCAATCCTGACAGCTGTGTGAAACAACTTCTAATTTATTTTCATGGTTCAAGCAGTGGAGCAATGTGACTAAGATTACAAAGAAGTGGCATTAATCTGGCCTCTGCCACTTTGTGGGGAGGAAACTGCTTCAAGGTGATTACAAGACTATATGACAAAGCTGGTCAATGGAAAGTACCTTTCTGCAGATAGAAATTGGAGTGAAAAGAAGAGGAAAGACCAAGTGAAATCAATATACAGTGCCTTGCAAAACAAAATGTAGATCTTTGCATAGTTTTCAGACATTGATGCTTACAATAAAGCTTGAAGTCATGAAAATTAATAAAGCAATTAATATCTATGATATACACAATCTAATCCACATATCCAAAGCAAAAAAAAACAAAACAAAAAAGAAATACGTAAATACTGTAGATAATTAAAATGAAGAAAAAAAAAAACAGAACTGTCCTGATTGCAAAGTATCCGAACCATTTGCTGTAGCTAATCTAAATTAATTTAAAAACATACAATTACTTCAACAAGCCGCACATTTAGTTAAGTGGCAGGTGACTCTTGCTGCAAGAGGTTCCATCCCTTCACTAAATACTAAACTAAGGCCCTGGCTACTTGTTTGTAGATTCCCATGGCAGTTTTCAAAAGATACAATTAAAATTATGGTATTCTGGTTAAATTCCTCTCTGTACTCCTGCCATCTTCCCTATTTAAAGTTCTAATTTAATTCAGCTGGTGAAGCAGCTTCTCCTTTCTCCACCTGATCTGATGTATAGTGGAGGGTGAGCATATAATGAGTGTTACATGTCACCCAGGTGAGTGTTGCACTTTAATAGGTGAAGGTGAAGGTTTACTCCTTGCTGAAAACAAAAGAGACAAAACATTTTCACTGGGGGGCCTTCTTCAGGTGAAAGAGCTCTGAGCAGAGCTGTCTGCCCTCTCCTACACCTGAATAATGCTCCATAGCTGAAAAGTTGTGTATTTTATTTTCTTTTCTCCCTTTTACTTTGCAGTGTACATGAGTGCCCTGTCATGGGCTGGAATGTTATCCATGGCAGATTTGCCTTGTACACCCCCAATGCTTCCTGGATAGGCTTTTTGTGGGGAAATTCTTCATCAGAGAACCAGGACACAGTCTTGTGCAGATTCAGTTTTATTGAGCTCAATAAGTCCAACAATGCGCGCTGGGTCTGTCCCACAGAACAAACTGCAAGGGTTTCCCAGTTCTTATATACAGTCAGAAGAAATCTGAGTGCTTGTCCTGTTCTTTGATATGTAATTACTTCTTGTCCTACTCTGCCTTGCTCTAGGTTCTGTCCTTTGATATGCAGCAGACGTTGGTCTGCTTTATCCTGTTTGTGGGTGTTGTTCCTGTCTTTTATTATGTAGCGTTAAGTCACTAAAGCAAGTCAGCTTCATGACATCTTGGCGTGACTTTTGTTGAAGGCTAGATTACCATACCCCAGCAACACCTCTCACAATGTGCTTAAACGGTGATATTTGCGATGCTGGATTAGTGAGATGTATATATGTCCCACCTCAGGCTCAAGTCTGTTGACAGTTTTATCACAAGTAAGCTGCTTTCTGGCAATGATAGGATGAATGGAATGCACCACTATTGTTACGTGTGCTGTAAGCAGTGAGGTCACCTGGATGAGATATTAAATTGCAACTTTAAAAAGAGTATAATCTTCTGAATTTACATGATCTTGCTTCTCAGAAGTTTTACCTTAATGGCTTATTGGTTTGATAAAGCAGTTTCTTACTTCTTTACCTGATCTGCTCTGTAGTTGAGCTGCTGGGTCATAATGGATGTTGTGCTTCACCCAGGTGGGTGCTGCCCTTGAGTAGAACATGAAATGGGTCCTCTCTTGTAAGTAAAGTGCTTATAGATCCTTTGGGATGAATGGACAATAGAAAATGCAAAGAACAGGACACTGGCATAATTCTGAACTGGCCCCTGGGAACCCCTGGGCACAGCCATGATATTGATGTTTGAACATGTGTCTAAATCTGAAATTCAGCAAAAAGAAAATTAACAGTGCAGTTTATCATATTGCACAACAGGTACAGTTATGTTTGCATCCTAGAGTCAAAATGCATTTTATGAAAGGTTATCTAATGAATCTGGATGTACTTCCATGTTGTGCTGCCCGTGTGTTATGAATTTCTGTTTATGTATTTCAATGTGATGTTAAATAATATTTTGAAATTAATATTTTATGGAAAATTAGGCATACTTTCTGCATTGTTGTTTCATAGAGAAAGTATTTTCACACAAGAATTGTTACTACACCCTAGTAAAAATAGTGCAGCTGCTTTCCTATAATTGACTACGTTGGCTCATCCATAGTCATTAATGATGAAAATGATGTCACTTCAGATGATCAGGAGGTTACAAGCATTATGGAATAGTTGCTACAATGACTGATGCTTCTAGAGGAATGTATCTGAACAAACTCGCATAAAGCTTTACCTCCACAGGGATTACTCTGTCAATGTCTAAGGTATGACTAAGCCAGGTATGACAAATGCTCAGTAAGAGATCAGAATAATAATAAAAAATAAAGGAGATCTACAGTTGATAGAAGACCTTTCAGAAAGTGACAAACACATGGTTACACAACTGAATCATGTTTAGGCCTTTCAAAAACACACATGGCTTAAAATCCAATATTGTTGAAAGGTTCAGGCTGATATAAGAATTTTGTTCAACATTACATGTAATCTTTGTGAAAATTAATATATTAAGCATGCACTTACTTTTCTGTAAATAAAGAAATATTTTTATATTTTCAAACATATTAATGAACCAATAAATCAATTTTATGTATAGAAAGTTTAGATATATTTGTAAATTAAGAACTTGTATATCTGAAACACTTAAATAATTCCATATGTAAACAACCCACACTGTTATTTAGGTTTCCTGTCCCTATTTTTTTTTCTATAGACAGTTTGTAGTGTATAGGGATTGAATACAATTCCATTTAATTCTGATATTTCTACCTTGAATACTGAGATCATTTTAATTGTACTTC